AAAAAAGGTATATTCACTGGAATTTATTTTCACTGAATCATTCTTTCAGTGAAAATAGTGAAAATAACGTATCTACAGTATGTAAAAAAGGTATATTCACTGGATTTTATTTTCACTGAATCATTCTTTCAGTGAAAATAGTGAAAAAAAGTTTCATGCATTTTACATTATACTGCAACAATTTCACAAACTATATCGGATAGTCAATAGAAAAAACAAAATTACATTTTCAACATGCACCATACATGTAGCAATGACAATAATCAAATAAAATCAGGTTATTTGAAATAAAGTTTGAGAATAAAGGAACAAAAAATAAACATATCCATTAACTGTAGTAGAAAAATAAATTTTGAAACCTAAAACTGGCAGTAATGTAAGTATATTTGAAAGCTAATCTTGTAAATAATTGTAATAAGTAGATAATACGAAGAGCTTTGACTGGCGAGAAAACATTCACAACCAAGGAGTCGATAGCTGATGTCGTCACCGAGACAGATGGAGAAGTTGAACATATTATTTTAACCAAGCTAAAAACAAAGTATCCTTCTCACCAGTAAGTGTTAAACTCTGCAATCAAATTTTTGTATCGGCTATATTCATATGTTTGATGCATCTATAATTACGCACTAAGAGGCTGTTCCTGTGAGTTTCCTCCTCTGGCGTAAAAGTGCTTCTGTGATGTTAAAATGACATGGACGGTTACGTTATGGAGGGTTTCATCTCTCTCAAAGTCATGATTTATAGGAATAATGTATTACATATTTTCTAGTTTCATTGCTGAGGAATCCGTAGAAAGCAAAGGTTGTGAATTGACGAACAATCCAACATGGGTAATCGACCCGATTGACGGAACAGCCAACTTTGTTCACGGGTAAGTTTAGCCTTTTACTATTGTAAGAAATTATTTCAAATGTTTCTGTGAGTATGGGTTAAGAGATGACTGTGATTAACCAATCAGTGTCTAATACCAATTCATGCAGCTTCCCTGGCACGTTGTTTAAATAAAATTTCTGTCACATTATGTAACTAGACTCAACTCCTGGTTCATATCTCGTTTCTAGAAGATACCGGTACTATTTTTCAGTATTTCAATACTATTTTTTCTGTATGCCAGATATGCAAACGACTTGCCAGCTAGGCACTTGAATATGTATTTCAGTATCATGTTTTAAAGACTCACCGACTTTAACAAATATAAATATTAAATAGTCTATTCTACCCACCCACATACATGTACAATTCATTGGGTCCTTATTAGTTTTAAGAAAAATTTGTGTTCACCATATACGACAAGGAATTTATGAACCATCTATTAAATATGCAGTCATTACTTCACATTGTTTTTGATACCTGTCCCATGTAAGTTAAGAATAATTAACGGTTTGCCCCGAACACAAGTCACAGTTGGAGGC